ACTCTTCTTCCTGCAGCAGAGAGAGACCATTACAGAAATCCACAACTGATCAAAGTGTATCAAATAAATGGTCATAGGACAACTCCAACTTAACACCGCTACATACACATACCTGGTTGATTTTGAATGATGTGTATTCATATCCCTTTGCTTGTTTTTCAAGTCTATCTTTTGTTTTCAAGTTTGCTTGTTTTTCAAGTCTATCTTTTGTTTTCAAGTTTTAAGAACTTTGTAGTTGAATATTAATCCTGGCTAAGTCATTTTAAAAGTAGAAACTTAAATTAAGAAAATTCCCCCACCATACTGGCAAGTCTTTAGTGCATTTTCTTATTTAGTGGTTGATGTGTGAGAGCCCAGGCAACTGTAGTTGGTATCACCATTGAACTGGTATTCCTAGGTTCTATAACAAAGAAGACTGAGCAAGCCATGAGAAACAAGACAGCAAGCAGCACCCTTCTATGGACTATGCATCAGGTCCTGCCTCCAGCTTCCTGCCCTGCTTGAGTTCCTGTACTGACTTCCTTCATTGATGGCCCCTGATGTGAAACTGTAAGATAGAATAAACCCTTTACTCCCCCGAGTTGCTTTTGGTCATGGGGTTTATCACAGCAATAGAAACTCTAAGACAAGATATATAGATCATTTTCTGTCCCCCTTTCCAACTTCTCCAATTGTTAACAGGCCATGGACCATTTGTAAAAAGTCAATTAAAACAATAACATTAAGCAAGCTATAGGCTTTCTTCAGATTTTGTCAGCTGTATCTCTCTACTCATTTCTTCCTTCAGAACCAAATCCAGAATATGACAATTGAATAAGTCATACTATTTGTTCGTGACTTTCAGCTGTACTATTCAGTTCTTCCTGTCATTACTCTTGAAAATCAGATGAGGATGTGTGACTCCCTTTGTAGTTATCTCATTTTATTTAATTGTGTTTAGTGTTTTTTGCCGTTGTCTGAGAAGATTCAAGCTGTAGGCCTTGAGAGGGGATATCACAGAAGTGTGACGTACATACCTCATCACACCAAGTTAGAAAGTGTCAGCAGGGTTTGTCATTAGGGATGTTAATATTAACAACATCATAGCCTTAAGGATGGTGCCAGCTAGACCTTCCACCAGTTCCTTCCTTATTCTGTTCTCTGGGAAAGAGGTGTCAAGTTGGGCTACACCCAGGAGTAGATTTAAGCTTTCTTTTGTGGAAAGTGAATGAAGTATTTGCATGTAATAAGTATAACTTTTGTGAAATGAATATTTATTTTGAATCTTACTTATTAGTGCATGTACTTATATGAGTGTGAATACAGGGGCTGTGTTTTCTCAGCTGAACTGCATCTCCATTTATTTATTTGTTTGTTTGTTTGTCTGTCTGTCTGTCTGTCTGCCTGTTTGTTTGTTTGTAGCAGCCTGAAGTACTTGAGCTTTATTTACTAAAAGCTCACTACAAACTCAGACATACTGATTGAGTTTTGTTTCTGTTATGTCCCAGAGAAAGTTCTCTTCTCTCTTCCTCTCCTCCTCCTCCTCCTCTCTCTGTCTCTCTCTCTCTCTGTCTCTCTCTCTCTCTCTCTGTCTCTGTCTCTCTCTCTCTCTCTCTCTCTCTCTCTCTCTCTCTCTCTCTCTCTCTCTCTCTCCCTCTCCCCTGTTTTCTTTTTTGTTTGCTTTTTAGCACTGCAATGTTTCAGAATTGCCTCCCATTTTTCTTGTCCTAGACACGAATTGTCTATCGCTTTCTCGTGCTCTGGTGAGACTTTAGAGACAAATATTACTTAGAAGGGGAAAACGGGATATGCAGAGTATCTATTGTCACGCAGTGTCATTGCTCCTAAAAACTTTTCACAGACATAGCTAATGTTATGCAAGTTTATTCGTATGTACACATGGCTTTGTTTCTGTATCTGTGTATAGAAATAAAAGTGAACTCACACTGGCAATTAATGTTTTTGTTTTAGTATTACAATTACAACACTCTATATAATTTCACCTTTTGTTTCACATTGCCAAACTCTTTTGTAAAATTCTCCTTGCCCTTTTCAAAATCAATAGTCTCTTATTTCATTAATTGTTGTTTCATGCATAGTGACAACTCAGCCATTATATTTTCTGTATTTGTAATATTGTCTTCTTTCATGAGCAACCTTGCAAATTCTACAAAAATTTTATTTATTCATATATTTTATCTAATACATAAAAATAGTTTCAGAACTCTATATTCCTTATAGCGAAAACAAAACATTCAAAAGGAAGGAACACATCTACTCCTCTTTATGTAGTTAATCCAAACTTATTCTTTTCTGATTTTGTGTTGCTCAAATTCTGTTTCCCAAAATAAATTTTACTAAGATATCATACCTAATTCATTACAAAATCAGTTTCCCCTTTGTCTTGGAGATACATTCTATTCAATTTTATTGTATTCTGTGTACCTCAACATTGTATTTAGGAGTTTTGTGCCTTTTGTATAATTTGCCCAACAGTTGAAGACTATACAGAATAATATTGCATCCCACATTTCCCCATGCAATCAGAAAATTTCTTTTAGCCAGTAATCTAAGTCAGGTAACCATGGATCTGTTTTTTTCCCATCTCAGTTTTGCTTTTTTCCCCCCTGAATTTAGATACTTTATATCACACAGTACTTAGACATTTTGGGGCTTTCTTGTTTTACTTGCAGAAATGGATTTGGGATTCAGACATTAGGGTCTGTGTATACAGATCAGTGGCAGAGCACTTGCCTAGAGGACACAAGGCCTTGGATTCATTTCTCAACATTGAAAAGAAAATAGAAACTTTTATGAGAGTCATCAAATCAATAGCTCTTTTCTATACTTGAATAGTATATGCTATTGATATTCCAGTTTGTTTTTCAATTTAGCAGTTAAATACAGCACTCGTTTGTTTATTTCAGACAGAGTGGCACTATATGGGTCATGCTGGCTTTGAACTTTCCACACTGCCCTAAGACATTTTCTCTTACTTTAGTCTCTTGACTGCAAGACTTATAGGCATGTGTTACTGCATCCAACAACATTTTGATTATTAATAAGTTTTTATGAATAAGTATTAATTTGCTATAAATATTTACACACTTTTAATGTAAAAAAAGGAGTATTCTCTTCTCTTGGGTAGATACATAGAAATGGAATCATTGGGTCATATAATTTGTTTATATAAAGGGTATCTAATTGATGGTAATTCCATTTGTGTTCTTAGAAAGTTTACAGCCAATTGACAATGGTATTCAAATGGTAGAAGCTGTATTCCAAATTTTGACCATGTTTAGTGCACAGCAGCAGTTCTCAACCTGCCTGGTATGACCCCTTTGGAGACGTCAATGAACCCTTCCACAAGGGTTATCTTAGACCAATGAAAATCATAGGTATTCACATTAAGATTCATAACAGTAGCAAAATTACAGTTATGAAGTCCCAACAAAATAATTCTGTGGTTGGAGGTCAGCACAACATGAGGAACTGTATTACAGTTCCACAGCATTAGAATTGTTGAGGACCGGGTGGTGTAGAGGTTATGATACCCCATGATGATGGGCTGTTCTGTTCTCTGCTTTTGGGTTCTCTGGACCGTCACTATAGATGCAGTATCTGAACTCTCCTATATAAGGAAAGACTGCAACCTTTTCGATAGTAATTGCTCCATTTTGAATTTCCAAAATAATGAGTCTTTAGCATGAACATAGTGCTATGTTCCCAAAACTGCATTTTGATTATAGAGGATAAAATAAAACAGATGATTGAAATGCAGTTCACCTACCTCATTTTATAATTTCAATGTAGTCATAAAAAATTCAAATATTATAACCATCTTCAACTCTGAAAATCTAATAATGTATCCAGTTTTGCTTCTGTAGAAAACAAATGTCAGGACCCTCTACTCTATGAGTGAGCAGATCTACTAACCTCACACAGGAGCTGCCCAGAAAAAGGCTGGGGGACCAAAAGCAAGGCTCAGAATGTGGATCCAGGCTTAGTGGAATTTGATATGTAGAGGTAGCATTTCCTTATACCTTCAGGATGATGCAAGTTTGGATTAGAATAAAGGAAGTGCTACTGTCCCACGCTTACATTTTTCTGGGAGAAAGGATTGTGATTCCTAGTTCTTCCTATTCCTTTGAGTAAGCTTACCATCCTCTTAACCCTCTTTTGCTTTTGTTTTCTTGACTTTGAAAATGTTTTATTTCTAATAAACACATAAAATGAAACACATTTGACTGATATTATTTGATTTTCATATTAGTATAACTTTTGTTGTGCTCAAAGGAGGTTATGCACATGTTTTTCCTGAAACCGTTATCATTTTATTATGAATAAACATTCAAAATCTTATCTTTTAAGTTTTTTTAAATATTAATATAATTTATTTCACATAAGCTTACTACTTCTTCAAACAAAAACAGATTTAACTTGCTTTTCAGTCCTGCAAAATGAATAATAAAAACAACTTATCTCTATATTGATCACTTTTCCTTTTCTTTAATTGAACTTACAAAAGCATATATGTTCTGTAAATAACATTGTGATGTAGCTATCATTTAGTCAATATTATTAAACACATTCACAATAAATAGCTACTAGAGAAGAAAATATAAAATAAGAAATTGACTTGAACTTAAAATCCCATTTCAAATTATATCTATCAAAGGCATATCAAGAACATTTTAGAATGTAACAAAATATATTCTAAAAATGATTCTGTCTTTCTTTCTAAGAATGCAAAGATACTGAGTTTAAAAATTTAAAGATATTCCATATAATTGAATGCCTGTATATTATTTTACCATAACTATTATTTCATGCTAAAACGTTCAAATAGTATTAAGTTTAAATTTGCAAAGCATCTCCTGAGATCAGATCATCTGAAATTATTGTATTTAGAATGAACTTTAGCTTATAATTTTCCAAGAAAATATGCAATATCTCTATTTTCAACCCAAATACATTTTCCACACCACCAAGCAGATTAGCAAACGTGAATATAGACTCACAATGTAGAGAGGAGCATGGGAAGCCGAGACAGGTGTTGAACTACTCCACTGAGTTGTCAGATACTTGAACTGTCACATCCTAAACCTGTTGAAATGTAAATAATAAAAGAGATTAGTTAAATGTGCTGAATATGCAACAGAGTCAGGTAAGATATCAGTTACCTCAGCTTATGAAAACATGACTTTACATATAGCATTACTCCTTCTCTCACTCATGGTTTCCCTTTTAGTTCTTAGGCAAATGTTATCAAAACATACAAAATATCAGCAGTGGTTGGTATATAAAATTTTTAAGTAAAATTCTGTAAAACTCTTAGGAGTATGTATATCTTAATAACTAAATACATACATGTCATACAATAAGCTTTCATAAAGTCCATTATTAGTAGTATAAATTGTATCCAAAGGAAAATACAAAATAAAAGAAAGTTACCAAGTTAATTAATGTTTTCATTGTATAGATGGTTAATAAAATAAAGATCAAATTTCTAGATTATTTGCATAAGCGTCTTTCATTTTCAAGCAAGTATTTTTAAGACAACTACATGGTTCATATAGATAAAGGGAACTGCATTCCCATGTTCTTGAATAGCTTCATTTTTTATGACTAAGATTACAATTAATTAAAAGATGGGAAGTTGGCTCCATTGAATTCAACCACACTAGACAGCAATAAATATCATTTTAGAATTTAGAGTCATCTGTCAGTGTAACTATGAGCAGCTTCAAATGAAATTCTACTTCAACATCCGTCTCTTCCTGCACCTCTGGTATTACTGGTTTTTTTTGCCACCTATTGCTACACAGAGCAAACATCTTTATCTTACAAAATACAAATTAAGTCAGGTAAAGAGTAAGATTTCACCTGAAGATAATACCTCCTTAAATTGGGCTGGACAGATTTGTATAATATGTGATATAAGTTTTGTTATAAAATCAACAATTTGCTTATCCTTAGACGTGACTAAAGCTAATGGTTAGATACCTTGTACACTTACACACACACACATAAATTCATAGATGAATTACATACATATATTACACACACATACATACATATATAGATGTGCACACATTTTATTTACACACAGAGAGAATCTCTTGTTCCAATGCCATAGTTCACAAAACCTTAAACTTTGTACCCTTGAAATTACTATATTTAAAGGAAAAAAATCTCCTGATCATAATGAGGAGGTGTACAATGTCTTTAGTTATGTATACTAAAAATAACGATAATTTAAATTTCTGTCAAATTTTATGCTCTCTCTCCCAAGGTATGTCATTTAATATTGATTCAAACACATTTTGAGAAAATACAAGTACATCCTCAGTTAAGTGAGGAAAAATAAAAGAAAATACAAATACGAGAAAATGTACTGCAGATTATAAAAATGAAAACTCACCTAGAGTTTATTTTTTCTTTTCTCCAAACATATCACAATATGGAGATGCACCACTGCACAGTTGGCAACATTTATTCACGGTATTGTGGGGGCCACACACTAAGCTGCAGTCCAGGGAAGTTTTGTTTTCCTCACAGTTATGATAATTCAAACCTTTCATGTGTACTAAGACTTGAAAAGTACCAAGACTCATGGACAATTGTAGCCCTGACATCGCAAAGCCTTGTTTTTTAGTTGTAGACTTTAATTCACATGGATTCCTGGGAATCATATTAAGATAATTCGACTTAGGTATCTACTTTCAATATTGTTGATCTTTCAGCACCGTAAAGGTCTCAAAGTACAAAAGAATAGTGAACGTGCTGTCGTTGGTAGAATTTCTTCTGTAGAATTGAGCTGCCTCATGTTTAGGGCTGCTGAAATGGTAAACCACAAAGCAGCATTTTATTTCGTTAATGCATGCAATGTGTTAGTTGGAATTCTTGACATAAGAGATATTAATAAAGAGGATGGTTCAGCTTTGGAACACTAGTCTCATGGAGAAGTCCTGTTTGAATTGAAAGGACCTGACCTCACATTTTAGAATTTCTGCATTGAAAAGTACACACTACCAAAACCCACAGATCAGGAACCAGTGATACATATTCAAAGACAAGAAAATAGTCACTGTACCTGTATCTTGTGTGGTGATGTGAAGTGGGGCTAGGTGAGTAGATTGCATCATACCATGAAGGCTTGAAGTTCATTCTAAGGAGCTCAGATTTTTCTCAAAGAACTATTGGATAGAGAGAGTTGGACTTTGGGATAAACATGATCTGATTAAAATTAGAAACCATGGTGGTCCAAAAGCCCATTGTAATGGTTGCATGGAGGCAGTTAAATTGTTGGCATTGTGATCAGAGAGAAGGTGTTTGGATTTGTGAAATATTTTAAATTTGATTAATTTCATCATTTCTTTTAATCTTTAACTTTTTATTTTTTGTATATGGGGATTTTGCCTGCAAGTACATCTTTTCACTATTTGTGTGCCTGTTGCCTATCGAGGCCAAGAATGTTCAGATTTCCTGGAATTGGAGATACATGGGTTTCTGAGCAGCCGTGTGGAAGCTGGGAATTGAGCCTGAGTCACTGAAAAACCAGCCAGTACTCTTAACCACTGAGTCATCTGTCCAGAATCAATTTTAATATTTCCTCATTGTAATTTTTTTAGATTTATTTACTGTGTATAAATATATATGTGTGTATGTGTGTGTGTGTATGTTTGTGTGGAAAGGTGTATGCAGATGTGAGTGTTTTTGTACCTCAGCTTGTGTGTGGAGGTCTGAGAACAATTCGTGTGGCTTACTTTTCTTCCATTATGTGGTTTCTGGGGCTCAAAGTCAGGTTATTACGATCATGGCAAAGTACTTTTACCCTCCATGACACCTCATAGGTCAAAACATTGGTAAATTAAAGCATTTTACTTCTTTTCTCTATAGAAGTGTTTATTTGAGTAATAAAAATGAATATTTACACAGGACACTAAAGTACATTTGAATAAAACAACTACCTACTAGTTTTATATATTTTTCCATTTAATGTTTATTTAGGTGATCAAGAGACTAAATACCATTAATCATATCACTACGTTATATATAAATCTAAAGAATAGAGAAATAGTTAGAGGAAACATTATTTTGAAAGGAAAAAACTTTAGAGGATATTAAATGATCTTTCTGATATGATCTTAGGTATATTCAAACCTTAATTCTGATAATACAATCATGCTTCTTGATTCAGATCTCTAGATGTGATTAAAGGCCAATGACTTTTGAACAAATAATGACAATTACATTACACCATTTATAGTAATAGATGAGATTTGCTTTCAGAAGAGGTTACAAAGTCAATTCCTGTGGCTGTACTTCAAATAGAATTTTATGGCTTCACAATTACTCAACTAGGTCTTTAGGACCACATTAATTCAACATACATTCTTCTAAATGCCTTCTGTGTAATCAAGAGCAGCTAAGTGCTATGAATATCAGGGTTTCTAACATATTCTTCTTGCCCTTGGAAGGGTCATATCTAGGGGAAGAAAGAGAGGAAGACTAATGAAGAACTTTCTACTAAATATTTGTCTGGGGACGCATATGTAGCAGTACTCCATTATCCCTGGCAGAAACTTAGTAGAAAATACACAGTGTTTGGTTAATGATGAATGGTAACCCACAGAGCAGCATGCTTGGAGACAAGAAGGAAGGATAATAGAGTATGGGAGTAAAACATCGTCTGACTTGAGTGGAACAGAGACATAGAAAGTGCAACAGAGGAAACATAGGAAGTGCAACAGAACACGAGAAGGCAGGAGAGATGAACAAGGGCCTAGCTACTGGAGAGTCTGAACCTATCAACACTAATTTCAGCAAGTAATTAAACCATATCTATAATATATAGACAGTTTTAATGTGTGTGTGTGTGTGTGTGTGTGTGTGTGTGTGTGTGTGTGTATAAGAGTGGAAAAACAGAGTCTATGGTCTATATCCTCACTCAGTCCTGTAAATAGCTGTGTACATCACTGTTATTCCCGTATGAAGAGCATTACATGTTCAGAAACTAAGTAGCTGAGACAAGTGTCTTAGTATTTTTTTTGCTGTAGGGAAACACCATAACCGCAGCAACTCTTATAAATGAAAACATTTTATTGGGGCTGGGCTCGCAGGTTTAGAGGATAAGCCCATTGTTGTCATGCAGGAACCCTGGTGATCTGCAGGCAGACATGGTGGTCTGCAGGCAGTCAAGCATCCAAGAGTTCTACATCAGATTGTCAGACAGAAGGAAGAGAGGAAGACATTGGGTTTGGCTTAGTCTTCTGAAGCTCTAAAGCCCACTCCAGTGACAGACTTGCTCCAAAACAGTCACACCTCCTAATGACACTCCCTAAGCATTCTAGTATAAGGCTATAGCAGCCATTCTTATTCAAATCACCACACAAAGTTCACCAAGATAAACGGTGTAGCTACACTCTAATCCAGAAAGTCTATTACAGATACCTGCTCTTCACCTGCAAATCTGACTCATGATCAATGTGTGAGACCCTAAAGCAATGGTTCTTAACCTGTGCATTGTGAGCCCTTGGGGGTCAAATGACCCTTTCGCCGGAGTCACCTAAGACCTTCAGCAGACACAAATATTGCCGTTACGAATCATAACAGTAGCAAAATATCAGTTATGAAGCAGCAACAAAAATAATTTTATGGTTCGGTGGGTCACATAACATGAGGAACTATATTAAAAGGTTATAGTTATAGGAAAGTTGAAAACCACTGTCCTAAAGGGCTTCCTCTGCATAATGAACACAGAAAAAAATGAATAAACAGAAACTTCCTTACAATCAAGAAATGTTGGTCTTCCCATTCTATTAAGTAAATATGTGACTAAGAATCCTGGTCCTACTACCACAAAACCAGGTGAAAAGGATAGGAGTGGGGGAAATCACTAAATATGTCTTCAGTATTCTACTTTGAAATATATTTTGAACTGCATATACTAAGAGTCATCTCAAGTGGTTCATATCTTGATAACAAGTTACAAAAGGGATGGCCATGGGAGGGGCATCTAAATTCTGATAGCATCTAAAGTAATTTTTATTATTTAGAATTGGAATCTGTCAAAAGTGGGATTTCCTTTTAACTTCCCCATTG